TGCAAAGCAGCTGTTAGCATCGAGCTAACAGCTTGTTAGTTAAGCAGTTAGCTTAAAAGCTGCAGTCTGAGTCTCAAACCAACATAATGTTGCTTCTGAAGCTCAGATATGGGAATGAAAAGACATCAGAACAGAACATTCTAGTTGTAAATTAGAAAACCAGCTGGATTTACTAATTGTTGTGGCGCTAACTGAATTTAGCAAGATAAGCTAATAATATATTTCTCTCCCCCTTATGCATTCAAACACAAAAGGACTGTACTAATGTTTCATAGCATTATGTGTGCTTCTGGTTTTATGAGATAAAGTAAAAGTGGTAGTAAATATAAGGTTGTTTTATTGGTTGTTTCTGTTATTTAGTTTTTAATTCAGTTTTTTGTGTCAGGTTTGTTTTGGGAAACTGCAACAAATACATATTTCTTTCTTAGCATAGTATTGATATTAAGACAGCCAGCAGCATCTTTGGGAAAATCATTTGCAGCTGATTTTAGAAACTGTCTTCTGAAACAAACATTTTGAATCACGATAGCTAAAACAGGAAGGCACCATATAAGGATGATGACATAGAATCTGGAAATCTCTCAGGAAATCACAGAATGATTTGTTTTCTTGACAAAATAAGCAAAGGAAATTTGGAAATAATTCAATTGGGTGTGGTGGCTAATCAGCCACAAAGGAAAAAGGTTAGAGAAAGTTATTTGCTACGAAATGATCTAAGAGCTTCACGGAGATAAACACAGAAAAGCCAGATTTCTCTTCACCTGCATAGAAAAACAACTTTTATCCCAGGATAATAAAGTGATTTGAATCTGTGACTTAAGAGAAAGAACAACAAAAACACAGTGAAAACAACACAACATGGTTCATGTCATGACTGCTAGCTTGAGTAAAGTCAAGCTGTGGAGGTGGGGATGGGTGATGCTTGTCAGAACGTTTTGACACCTGACAGTCAGTAGACTCGGTTCGACTGAGGACCAAAAACTGCAACATTTGTTCCATTTTCAGCTGCTGTGGTTCTTTCTCACTGCACTGAGTCAAACCAACCAAACCCTTTGAGCAACATGTTCCCCTCCTGGCCTGTGGGGGCGCTGCACCACAAACCACTGAAGACACTGAGCACAACTTATTTTTCAAGAAATGTAAACAAAAATGGACTGGCGTCACATATTAGCGGTTGGAGGATTTCTTTTGTCTTTGGTAAAAATAAACATGAGTTATTTCTCCTGGTAGCGCTAGACTCGCATGTTTGTTTTGGTTGTATTTACCCAGAATGCCCTGCTCTGTAGTCCGCTTCCTGCTTTTGGATCGGTATCTGGACCGATTGGCGTTCGAACTGCACCAGAGTTCACTTCAACCAAACTGAGACCGAGGTTTGAAGGCAGACCAGAGTTTATGTGGAGAAATGAGATTTGCAGAATCACACACACACACACAAAGTCGTTAAAAAAGAACTTTGATAATACCCACAGGCAACAACACAAGCCAGACTGGAGAATCTGCACAACAGGAGCTAATTTCAGTGCTTGGTTTAGTTTTTGTTACAAGGGATCAAAATGGCCCCTTTAATCTTTATGTTGGACAGAGTTGCTGGGTTTTCAAGCTAAAGTAAACACCACATGTATAACATTAGTTCTGATTCTACAATAATGATCATGTTTAGGAGAGTGCGACTTTTAGCTGCTTCCATTCACCACTGTATTTTTTTACAGTACATAAAGTGGGAAATTCTGGGGTTTCTGTAGTTTGTGAAAAGGGCTGTAAAGATAGTGAAAACCGGATCTGAAATTATATTTTAGTATTTCAGCTCAGAATGCTTTTAAATTCCTAGGCAGGGTGTCGGTCGGGTAGGTATCCAAAATACTCTCATTTTACCTGGTTTTTTGTACCATCTTCAATAAACTAACAACTCTTCAGTTTATGTGCAAAGATTCAAACTGGAGTCTTTAACGCTTCTTTTATCTTAGGTAGAAAGTGATATATATATATTTCTCTAAACACAAAATGCAAAATCTGCGTTTTTTTCTTTCTTACATATTTCTTCAACTTTGGATGTAAACATTCACAGAACTGTCTGATCTGAATGCAGTTAAAAACAAAAAGTTATAAAAATGCCCTTCAGCAGGCAGCTCAGGTCCAGATTATGTTGATGAAAATCACTTTGAACTTCCACAGAAATCAATTTCAGAATGAAACCGGTTACATAAGAGGGACTCAAACTATTTCTTCACGTAAACTCCAGCCGGTCCTCAGCATTGCGTCATGTGTTGCTGCTGCAGCAGAGCCTGACGTTTACTCAGTTACCAAGTACTATAAGGAATTTTTACTGTTCCTCCCTTGTGACACAAAAATCCAAATGTAAACAAAATTAGACACAGGAAGTTTTAAAATCACAAAACATTTCCCACGGAACTCAAAACAGAGAAATGCCTTGGTTTCAGATGCGAACTGAAAATGCAAGGAAAAGCGTTCTACAGTTCCTCTTTGGGGCAGAAAGAGTCGATTTTCAGTTGACTTTACATTCATGAGGATCAAGAGGAAAAGTTTCACTTGATAGTGGGAAAATAAAGCGGAGCAAAAAGAAACAAAGATGAGGAAAAAAAGCAAAAAACTTCTTTATCAGCAGAAAATGTGAACCGCATAAAGAATGTTTAGGAAAACTTCAAGACATCACAGAAAAAAAATCCATCACAAGAAATGTAATTATATCAGTTTTATGATTGATTCTCCTGTTAAAATCTCTTTTGAAGTTACAGTAAAATATAACTGGAGTGTACGCAGCTCAAGTTGAAAAAAAAAAAAAGCACTGATGATAATAAATGTACAGAACAGTCGAACATGAAAGTGACACAATGCAGCCGAGTGTTTCAACTTCGTGGTTCCATATAATCATCCCACATTCCTCGATCTAAAAACAAAAAAATCCCAAACAATAAATGCAAATCATTGCAAAAAAATTACATTTGTTGCGCCTCATCGGCAAAAATATATACAAGTATTAAAGTAAATAAATAAAGTCTCTGATTTCTTTAAAGTATTTTCTTAGGAGGTGACGCAGCATCCCTCTTTTGGTTTATGATCCCACCGAGCGATCCCCATTTTTGGTCTCTCACACACACGCACAAACACCGTCACACGCACACACACCTTCTCACTCACACACACACACGTATACAAAAATCAAAAGAAAAGTCCCGGGCTCGTTCCAAAAGAAGGAGTGGGTTCGGAAGTCTCTTAGCTCTCAGGCCTCCTCCTCTCTGTGAAAACCGGCACCTGATTTCTCTGGATTTGGCCTGAATTCAGCTTTAAAACAAAATAATTAAAGATTTCACAGAGACAAGAGCAGCCACGGTTAACGTACCCTACACATTTCATAAAACATTCATTTCACTTATGTTGATTGTCTTAATCAGAATACAGACTGACTGTCAATCAGTGTGAATCTCTTCACAACTTCAGGATATAAAGGCTCTTGGTTAGTCACCAGAAACAAAAAAACTAACCGAGGATGAACCTCCCATCGCAGCTCCTCCGGCGTTGCAGAGAAAACAAAAAGTTCATCAATAAATATGCGACTAGAAATCTCTATGGAACATATATTACTTTGTCTGAACTCCGACGGATCCTCTCTGTCTTCTGGATGCTGATTGGAGGAGGTGGATCGGACTGCTACACATGCTGCAACGCCATTGGTTCACGGCTCTCCGACACGGGATTGGTGGAGGCAGGAGGGCGGAGTCTCCCTGAGTCTCTGAACTGGAAGCAACGCGGAAACCGAGGAGGAAGTTGAATGCGCCAGCGGCGGCCATGACGGCGGCCATGACGGGATAAAAAGGTTAACTTCCTGGTCTCCACAGACAGCCGCTGGGTGTTCAGCCTGCTTGCATGGTTGTGGCAAAATACCCTTTTGGTGGGTTTTCTTCACGATGAGCCAAAACTTTACAGCGGAAATCCACAAAACAAATTTATTCCAAACCGATCGGCTAAAACCGCTATAAAACAGGGAAATTTACGTTTTATTCAAGGTGCTTCATAGAAAAATGACTTTTTGAGGAGATTACAGACTTCAACTGCATCCACACTGAACAAACTAAATATTATCAAGTATTTTTTAGTGTATTTTCCAGTGGAAATATCTTAGCATTCTTGAAATACAATAAATTAACTTACAAATAACTTTTCAGCAACAAATAGGAGCGTGCTTTTTGTTAATGAATACTTAATATTGACAAAAAATTACAAGTTGCACTGGGAAAATATTTCACTTAAAATGTTTTGTCATTAGTGAAATAATCTGCCAATGGATCAAGTACACTTTAAAAATAAATATTGAGGAATTATGAACTTAAAACAAGCTCCTATATTGTGCTGAAAAGTTACTTGCAAGTTAATGTATTTTATTTCAGGTGTACTAAGATATTTGCACTAGAAAATAGACTAAAACTTACTTGGTATAAGTTTGTTTTTGCAGTGCTAATAAATCCTGATGCTGATTTGATGGATGTTACAGCTTTAGATATGAAATCACACAATTTCACTGATATTAGTTCAGCATAAAATAACTAAAGAGATCCAGATATTTTATCTTAGTTCACATGACAAGAGACAAAAATAACTTAATTTTAGGAGCTTATTTTTAGTAAATAATTCCTTAATCCTGATTAAAGAAAAGAAATACTCGTTCCACTGGCAGATTATTTTATTTATGGGGGAAACGTCTTGTTATAAGTCAAAACAATCTGCCAGGGCAACTAGTATTTTTCATGAATATTAAGGAATTATTGACTAATAATAGGCTCCTTTATATTCAAAACTGCATAAGAAAAGTAAGTTTTTTGTGATTTTGAGGGCAAATAAATCCTGATGCTGACTTACAGCATTAAATATAAAATCTAACAGGTATTATCTTAGGTTTCTGGGTGTGTCTAACTTCTCTTTCTTGCTGAATTATTGACATAAAACTCTTATATTGTCAATGTGAAAGAACTAAAACGATGCAGATCAAGAGTTTTAAGTGGTTGTAATGTTTTGGCTCATCAGTGTTTGTTGGTATTTTGAATTCCCGCATATTTACATGATATGCGCGCATGGCTTGTCTCTGGGACTTTTGGTGCTGACAGCGCCCCCCCCTGGCAGGGAGGGGAAGCTCGGGGTCAGACGCTGTTGTCCAGCTGGTTGTGATGGTGGTTCGCCGTCGGCACCGCCGCCGTCTGCTCGTTCAGCAGCAGCAGCAGCGTCTTCTCGTCCGGGCCGTTCTCCGTCAGGGCGGAGTCTGCTTCCAGGTCCAAGATGGCTGCCGAGGGCGACGTCTCCTCCTGGGAGTAGTGAGAGCTCTCTGGGGACTGAGGCGTGCTGTCCAGGCGAGACGCAATCAGGCCGTTCTGGTACTGCGAACGCGTGATCTGAGGGAGATTTAGGGAAAAAACACATTAATGTTTTCATAAATGCAACGGGATGAGCCAAAAGGATATTTTTTATCTGCTTCAAAGTTTAACTTTGTCAATAAATGTAATAAAAACTAGGAATGCACCGATCCACTTTTTCTCTTCTGATACCGATTCAGATCAATCAGGTTTATTAGTATAGCACATTTCAGCAACAGTCATAAAAAAACACATTACTATACAGTCAACAATGAAGAAAACCAGAAAGCATTTCATATTTTATTACACATCAAATATGTTTCCTGTATTAAGACTTTTTATGGTTGAAAAGCCATAATAAATGTTTTTTAAACCATTTATTACTAATCAAAAGCAACTAACTCATTTAAAGGAAGTCAGTGTTTCAGCTGTTTTGCCGTTTTATAAAAATTTGTTCCAGATTTGTGATGCATAGAAGCTGAATGCTGCTTTTCCACGTTTGGTTCTGGGGATGCAGAGCAGAACCAGAACCCGATTTGGGTCGGAGAACGTAGATATTTACTGATAGATCAGTGAACGTGTAGCCTTCCTCTGATTTGTTGGCCGTTCTGGACCCACCTTGACGAACTGCAGGTCGGTGAGCGCCCGGACGTTGAAGTCGGGGGTGTAGTGATGCGCAGCCATGCTGCTGTTGAGCTGGCTGTTGCTCCCGCTGACGGCCAGGGAGTCGGTCCGGTCCGCCCCGCTCAGAGACGCCGTCCGGTTCAACCCGCTGAGGTGGGACGGCGAGCGAAACTCTACTAACAACACAACAGAAACTCTGTTAAATCAGCTCCGGATCAACATTTCAACACAGAAACGTTTAATTTGACCGGCAGACACTTTAAAACCGGTTCAGACTGGGTTCATAACTACTGCACTGCAAAAACACTAAATCTTACCAAGCATCTTTAGTCTCGCTTCTAGTGCAAATATCCAAGTCCACTAGAAATAACACAAAATTAACTCTTCAGCTAGATGCAGGAGTTTGTTTTGAGTCAATAGTTCCTTAACCTTGATGAAAATGATCTAATTCCACTGGCAGATTATCTCACTTATTACAAGACATTTTTCCCATGTTAGAAGAGAAATAATCCGCCAATAGAGCTAGGACTTTTTAATCAAAACAAGTTCCCATATTTCTCTGAAAAGTTGCTTGTGAGTTCATTTTGTCTTATTTCTACAGTTTACTAAGATTCATTAGAAACTGGACCAAAACTACTTGGTGAGGTTCTGAGTTTTTGCAGTGTGGTTCAAAGATGCGATGCAGGTTAGGACTGATGAGTAACTATGAGGAAACAAAGTGTTAAGAATGCAGGAAACGGCAACAGAAACCATCAAACAACCATAAACACATCTGGATGAGGGGGTGCAGTGGAAGCAAACGTTTGTTTACTCAAACTTTATGCCACCAGTCAGTGGCGCAGAAAACTTTCCATCTAAAGTGACTCAAGTCAGGATCTTACATCAGCCACACGTCACAATTTCTTCAAAGTAAAGCGGATTAAATCTGTTTTTAATTCATCATGTTAGGATTTATCTGCCATGACACAAAGATAAGTTACACAACGCTTTAGTTTCCAAACTCCAAACCAAATAAAAATGTGAAATAAATGCATCAAGCAGCAGAAATTTGATTAATATTTCATAACACATTAATGGTTAAATAAATCTTTAATCCTTAAAATGGGACATAATCCCCACTCTGCTCCAGGTAAAGACGTGTAAAAAAAAAAAGCCTTAAAACATTCATTTTATGCAGTTCAGTTGTTAAATTAAAAAAAAAAGTATGCAGAAAAAATCTGGTGTGAAGAAATCCCAACAACACAGGACTTTTACCGGCTGGATTTCAGAGTTTCAGTTTGCACAATCCGCCCGGCGGATCCTGGATCTACTTTATGCACACTAAGCTAACTCTACACATGCTAAGCTGGCTCTACACTCGCTAAGCTAACTCTACACACGCTAAGCTGGCTCTACACTCGCTAAGCTAACTCTACACACGCTAAGCTGGCTCTACACTCGCTAAGCTAGTTTTACATATTTCTAAGTTAGCATTTAGAGCCAACTTCCTGGAAAAGGAGCGTAGCTTCCTGCCAGAATCCATCAGGTTTTTATTTAGATATGAGATATCTAAGATTTGACTGGTGCAAATTATACGGAAGATATTTTGAAAGCAAACACACGAGAAATAAGACGAAACTAACTTTTCAGCAAGATGTAGGCTCCTGTTTTAAGTTAATAATGAAAAAGTTCTAGTTCTACTGGCAGATAAATTTATTTATAACGACAAAATTTGACCACGTTATAAGTCAAATAATTTGCCAGTGGAACTAGAACTTTTTTTTATCAATACTGAGAAAAGATTTACTTAAAACAAGCTCCTATATCTCACTGATAAAACTAACTTAAAAGCAACTTGTCATATTTCAAATCTAACTGGACAATTTCTAAAAGTGTTTTTGACGAGTCAAAATTTCTTGTAAGGTGAATGATGGATATTTCTTGAACATTTTTTAATCTGGACGACTTTTCTAGTTTAGATATCTTTGTGGCATTTTTTGAGTATTTTGTCCAGAACAGCCAACGCCATATTTTATTAAAAATTAAACCAAAAAAAAAAAAAAAAAAAAACGAACACATAAATGATCTTACAAAAGTACAGATAATAAAAGTCCCTTTTATAGAGGCTTGGCGTAAATTATGGCTTCATTCATGATGACAATGTGCAGTATTTTCATCATCAAAAGTGCAAAGCCCCAACACACATGTAAACCATTGGACATGTACAGTGAACTTAAACAGGTCTTTGAACAGAGCGTGCAATATAAGCAGTTGGACAACAGCCACCGACTGGACAGCCCGCAGCATCACAAGGGAGATTTATGTGCCATTTCTTAGTTCAGATAAATAAAAAAGTCCTTTTGAAAATATCTTAAATTGTAAAAGCAGACATTTTTAATTCAGAACAGACAACATGTATTTGTTTCTAGTCAAAACTCCTGTTTAAATCCAGTTTGCCATGCACAGTGCTACTGTTAGCTGCAGTATTTCAGCCATATTGTGAGCTTTGGAGACAACATGACTGTGCATTTAAAGTCATTAAAAATTCAAAGAAATGTTGATTACTTTGGAACATTTTCTATAGTTTGATTTATTTTAAATAGATTATAAGATTATTACTTATTAGCATGAAACATTTTGAAGCACCTAAATGAAACACAGAGTTTCCCAATTTTTTAAGAAGCTGCAATAAAACATAATCTTATTTTTTGGCTTTTTATACATCTTTACCAGGAGTGGCAATATGCATGTAGCTTTGTAAACTGAGATGACGAAATTAAACAACTTATTCATCCAGTCAACCATTAGAGTCCAAACATATTAGTTGAAATAAATTAAAGATAAGGAAAATCATAACCAATGTCTTTCAGGCAGTCAGTGTGTTTCTAAAGAAAATGACTCAAATGAATCGCTAACAATATTTAATTGGAATATTGGGAAACAAACAGTTTATCACAGTTTCTATCTGCCAGTGGATGATGCTTGAAACCCATTCTCCTCACTCACACACTGACACACACACTGATCCGTTCACCCAGTGCATTATTATGATGATGATTACCGGTTGGTGTGAGTCGTCCAGCAGGGGGCCTCAGTGAGTCATAGGAAACTGTTTTACCTGGACACGTCAACCACGTTAGTTTATCAGGAATGAACCGTTCATCCTGGTTTTCCACAGCTAGTTTCACAGTTAGTGGTTAGATTAGACTGGATTAGCAAACTCATCTTATTGGGAGGAGATTCTGGTAATCCAGCAGGAGATTTTTCTTTCTGGTTAAACTCAGGAAACTGATTTATAACTCAAAGTAATGACAGAAAAATCACAAATATTCTCGTTAGCAGTTTTAAATTAGCCTCCCTTTTAGAGAGTAAAAGTGACAAAAATCATCAAGGGATTTTATTTTAATTTTCTCATTTTCTTGAAAATGCTTAAAAATACAAAACTTATCTTGAATTGTTTTTATTAAAACAAGTATAATAAAAATTTAAAGTTCAATTCAAGATTAATTTAAACAGCAGCTTAAATTTAAAAGACCACTTATGATTTTAAAATATTTATGTTAATTAGCAGGAAAAAAATTATTGCATTTTCATTTGATTTTTAAACACAAAAATAAAAAACTACTGGTTACTTTAAAAAAGGCTTGTCAACATTATTGACATTATTAATAATAATAATGCTGTTATTGATTATTATTAAATTTATTAAAGGTACAAATTCAGATTTGTTCAGAAGTCTCAGTGCATTAGTTGATTTGGCTTTTTATTTTACTTTTTCAAATTTAGTTTGTAAAAATGAAAGATAAATAAAAAAGAACTACAATATAGGTAAAGACTTCTCTGTGTTCTGAAAAAACAAATAAAAAAACAAAGTTTTGTATTTCATCTCAGGAAAGATGAAATGAAACAAAATCTTTGATTTATTGGTGGGAAAAAATGCATATTTTCCTTTTTTTGTGATGAATTAATTATTTTAAAAACATTTTTAAAAATGTATGTTATATTTAACTTTGGTATGCACCTAAAGCTGAACGGTGACATTTAGCAAACAGAATCTTGGATAAGAAAGGAAAGAAAAACATTTCTGACGTTATTTTGTCATTTTTCTCTCGTTTCCAGCCCATCTGCTGTTAAAACCTGCTGAAAAATCTCCAACTGGATCTCTAAGAATTACAGTCAATAACATCAGGAAGCCAGTTTCTGTTTGAGTTAGTGTTTTTAAAATGGAGCGGGTCGCAGAATTGACCCAATTCCAAATAAAAACCTTTCAACAAACCATCTTCTTTCATAACTACAACATTTATGTGAACACATCTGGAACTGGGTGGAGCTTTAGAGACAAAAACTAAATCCTACAGCAGAAACCCTGAAAGTCTCTAAACTATCATTAAATGAATAAATGAAAGAAACACGTTCATAGAGAAATAATCAGTCAACTAGAAGAAGATCCATCTAGAAGCGGCTCGATGGTTTTATTCCTGGAGGGAAATCAGTCGTCATGTCGTCCCTCTAAAACAAACTGATATTTTGGCAAACAATCTGACCAACAGTCCTGAAAACTGAGGAACTGTTCACGTGAAGCGGTAACCTACTGAACAGTTCAGTTTCAAACAGATTTCATATCAGAGGCTGAATTATTCTCACACACACCACAGCTGGTTTTTAAGTGTGGCAAAGTGAGGTGGCGCTCTTGGGTTTGTGTGTTGGTAAATGTTTGGGACGTCGAGTCCAGGAAAGAGAACGATGGAGTTCAGATTGATGGGCAGCAATAAATGATCCCTAAAACCATAAAACCTTCAATTAAGGACACTTGTCAGAAAGTATAATCACTGTTACAGGACAAATAATTGTTTGCCAAAATCCTTAAAGATTAAACCTACAATCAGTCGCATGAGAGACAGAGCAGGAACTACGTGTTAAAACCTAAAGAAGTGACAATAATCAGCTTTTTCTACCGACTTTATGGGTTAAAACCTAAAGAAGTGACAATAATCAGCTTTTTCTACCGACTTTATGGGTTAAAACCTAAAGAAGTGACAATAATCAGGTCTTTCTACAGACTTTGTGCCCTTTGACCCCCCACCCAACCTGAGCTCGGTGTTAGACCACCCAGACATGCCGGCTTTTACCTGGCAACCGAGAGAACAGAGAAAACCTCTTAAAGGAGAGCAGGCGATTGCGCGGCGCGGCCACTGAGAGGATAGCAGACAGGGAGGGTGAAAGGGAAGGTCAAAGGTCAGGGAGACAGGTCTGCTCAGAGGACAGAGGACATGCAGAACCCTGGAGACGCTCTCCTGATCCCACAGAAACCCAGAGAGCCCACAGCATAATGCTGTTGCTGCAGAGCTGGAATAAAAGCTCAGGTGTAGATCAGGGGTGTCCAACATGTGGCGCGGGGGCCAATTGTGGTACAAATCTGACTTTGCTGCATCCAAATCAGCTTTTATTAAATTTACTAAACGCTGTTAAATTAGCAAACATTTTTGAAGGATAGTGACCCAAATCCGGTTTTTAAAACATTTGTTCAATTGAAAACTAGCCGCCTTTCTTTTAATAAAGCAAATGTGCAAAATTATTTTAAATGTTTGGATTTACAATGAAAACGCGCCCAAAACAAATTAGGCTACATTATTTGCTTTATTTTATTTTTTATTTTTCTTGGCATGGAAGAATGTTTGACCCAACATGAGAAAAAGTTTGGACACCCCTGATGTAGATGCTGAAGAGGGAAGAAAAATTACAAAACAAAAACTAAAATAATTCTTCATTTTTGGCTTTTTTTCCTTATAAAGCTCCTGAAACAGAGAATAACTAAGGGGGGGAAATCAGAACATTAATGCATTTAAATTTATGTTCTAGTTTTTGCTTTTAAGACACGTTTTAACATCTTGTAAACCCATCCAATGTTCTGCTGAACCAAACAAAAGAGTTGATGAAATTTCAAGGATTGAACAACTCTTTCATGTTGCCACAGGGAGGCAGTAGAGAGACATGTTCAATAACTCTCTCAGATTAAAGTGGGTCAGTAACGGGTTGTCAGGTTCAAGCAGAGGAGGTTTGTGGACTCACCCTGAGTGGGAGCACTGAGCGCCATGACGCCATAATACGAAAACGCTCCGGCCTCAAACTTCATGTTCTCGTTTCCGGCCTCCACCTCCACTCGCCCCTGTGGATTTAACACACAGACGCCATTTTCAAAACATAAACACCAAAAACAGCAAACGATTCCTCTCAAAACTGAAAAATATGAGGGAAAATTGTATTTTTTCCAAGAAAGGGTCAATACACCATTTGACCTCTAGATGGCGCCACATTTCCAAGTAAAACTCAGTGTTTATCACTCCGGAGCAGCAGAGGAAACTGTTCAGAGGGATGTTGGATGAAAATATGAGAAAATAATGAATTTAGCGGGTCACAGAGGACAGACTGGGGGTTAAGGAAGCTGATGTACTGGTACAGAGCGTTGGCCCAGTTCAACCAGCTGGAATGTGTGACTGCAGCAACAACGCAGCAGTTAATCCATCCAACCGTCCCTCCTTCCTTTCATCCCCAATGAAAGCAGAACAGGTGGGAAAATAAAAACATCTGAACAAAAACACAAATTTATTCAAACATCATATTATTTCTCTTGATATTTATATTATATTCCTAATTCTTTGGACTGTAGTGACTAAAGTTTTGTACTAATCACAGTCCATCACATCATCTGCTAATATTTAAACTCTATAAAGCTTCAGATGGTTGTAAGTGAAAAAAACAACTACGCTACAGCAATTTAAAGGGAGATATGAAGACTCCACCCCCTGGAGATAAAAGTTAATAATACATCAAAATTATCATAAAGTTGCCACATTACGTAAGAACACTTTTGCTCCAGTGTAAATTTTTCTGTCAAATTAAAACATAAAAGGCTGAAAATAACCTTCAGCTATTTTAGGAAGTTAACTCTGCAGTTACAAAGTAACAGGAGGGAAGCTGTTCATGCTGTAAACACTGCAGAGTCCAGCTAACAGCGAGCTAAAGCTAAAGCTAAAGCAACATTACAGCACAGAACCGAGCAGAACCCAGTCTGTCAACAGTTCCTGCACCTCCAACTATCCGATCAGTTCTTTCTAAACTACAATGAGAAAAACAGAAACTTGTTCTGGAGTTGCTCTTATTGTGGGGAATTATGAGCGTTGGCCTTGATCCACATATGCATTTTAAAGCTGCAACTAACTTTATCTTAGTAATTATTCTGGTTAATCTAATAAAACGTTTGCACATTATGCAGATTTCTCGCACTTAATCCCTTTTTATATAATATCAGAAATACATTAAAAGATGTAAATAAACCCATAATTCAATCCCTTTGTTGTAGAAAATAAACATTTTAATAACACAATTCCTTTGGTGAATGCTTCATCACATGAGGCGAAGGAGGAATCTGCAGCTGAAAAGCATTTCTGACATCGACATGTAAAATCTAATCCCTTTCTGTTCAACTTAACATCAGATCAGTGTAGGGCTGATCTGGTGATTATTTATTGGATTAAAATAATTGGACAAATGGTGACTAATAGATCAATCATTAATCACAATTAATCCAAATAAAAGGTTCAGCAATAATGCATCTATAAATCAGTGCATCCATCCTCCAGAAATGTTTATGAAAAGGTATATATATATATATATATATATATATATATATATATATATATATATATATATATATATATATATATATATATATATATATATATATATATATATACACACACACACACACACCCCCCCCGGGAGTATATCGAGAGAGAGTTTTTTCTGCTCTCTCAGCGTGTGAGCTC